GAGAAGGCAAATAAAAATCGCATTCATTGCTGTGTTTGTCTGCAACTTAAAAATTAATAAAATCTATAATTCCGTATGGGTGTGAGTGTACGGTTTTGAGAGAGCTGCGTAGGAGCGTGGTTGTTACCGCTTCATTCAGTCGTATGATGAGGGTTTCGACGACAACTCAAATGAACAAGTCCTTTTCCGCCCTATCGGTGTGTTTTTGGCACCTGGTTCATCATATTTCGTTGAGTGAAGCGGTCCGGGTAGCCGCTGCCTCTGAACACATCTGAGGTAAACACCAGCTCATCTTCCAATACTTCATGGGAGCAGATTCTCCGAGCTTCATCGGTTTATTTGGTACATAACTGAAAAATCGTGTTTTCATACGGCACGCACGACATTGTATAGATCCATCACATTTTCCAATGGGTAGTACATCTAGAAATGGTTTTTCATCACCTGCTTCTACCCCCTTTGTAAGTTTTATAGCCCTATGTGCAAAGCTGACTTTTCCCAACAGTTGATTCAGTTTGCAGTTCGCATTAAATCGGCAAAATATGTCGTCTACAAGACGATAGTATTTAAGAAGATTTCTAATGGTACCTTCCACCTGACTGCTCTCCAGCATCGCCATGAAACAAAGCCGCCATTGCTTTTACTGAAAAGAAACTAAAAGTTATAAGTAAACTGAACGGATAGTTCGCGTAGTGCTTCTGTGGGTATTCCCAATAAAAATGCCGCTGTCATTCAGACATTTTACAATGAAGTGGTGGGGTATCCAGGGACAACAACTGAGCTGACGTATCTACATCCCGTACGGCCTCAATAAACTGGAACGTATCCTTAACAGTATAACCACTTTTTCGGGTTCAAGGATTTCAACCAACTATTGGAAGACAGCATGGTCTTAACGACCGACTTGCGGGCAAGCATGGTGCCAACGCCAAAACAATAATAATACTAACAAGGGATGGGTTTATTGGGGTACAGAACAGAATGAAATGAGGTCTCAACAGTTACAATGGATAACAGTAGATAGAAACCACTTTTTGTGTTTCACCGTATACCTTTTCAGTGTTAGTTCATCGTTTTTACGGGGTACGGGATTTTAATAGGCAGACCGTACCATACGGCACGGTATGGGAAGTTTATCGTCGGTAGGATGGGACAAAGCGGAACCTAGGCTTTACGGATTTCTTACAAACTGTATGGCCTCAGAATACATGAATTAGCAGGTGCAATGCGTTCCTACAGCTCACCTCTTACGTAAACCTCATGAGAGATGATTAGATCGGGTGTTCCTGACGTGCTCTACTGTGGACAGAAAAAGGCGGTAAGAACCTACCATGTGCCCTCACTGGACGTGAGGTCTATTGATATAGCGCTTGAAGGAGTGCGTGGCAAATTATTTACGTGGGGATTCGTTAGTTATTCATGTATACAGGTCTAATCGAAACTGAAGCAACAGGTCCCTGTGAAACACTTGTCGGTTCGTATGGACAATAGCATTTATACTGAAGTAAATTTTTTTCAAAACTAATAATAAACAAGTCTTGGAGAGTCTTTATATCCGTGATTTTCCTGAATCGTACGTACATCGAAGTAGACAAGATATAAATTATTGTCCACACCTAAAGCAATAATATAGGTGATAAATATAATGAAACTCCCTTTGATCATAAAGAAAATATTTTAGCGCATCACAATCGGCCAGTACTGTACAGTTGCGTGCGCACTGAGAACACTACTCAATTTCTGAACCATTGAGGCAGACGCACAGGCCAAGGACCTGTTTGGATTACATAGCAATTCGAAGATTTCATGATCAGAAATGCTGTCATTGTACACAGAGCAGATGCGCCTTATAGAGAACTTAAGTTTCGCAATGCGCTTCTGAATAGCAACGCTCTGTTTTGTTTAAATGAGGTAACACACTAATGCCTGGTTTATCACCTGACTCGGAAACCGCACCAATTCCAACGGAAGCAGCATGAGCAATGAGAAAAGGCGTAGGTTTGGTTGAATATGACAGAAATCGAAATAGGAAGTGTACGCACAATTCATGATAACCAGTCAACCCCCAAAAAGAAAAGGTCTCGTAAACCAGTTGAAATGACCAAGAAGCTCGCACAGAAATGGTTGAAATGAAATGAGGAAAGCATTGGAGAGCACCCAACAGTAAGTGTAGCTCTGACGAGTTCTTCAGTGACGATATGTCTATTGAATGAGATAATCATATCGTGTTATAATTCCAGAAGGCGGTGCTGGTCGAGAATAATTAATTATTGGGGATTTCAGATGGGACATCACCAATTTGGCATACATAACACAAAAATCTAATCAGAAACATACCATCGCAGTTCCTGTCCACACGACGGGTAATTAATGTATAAATCGATAGTTCTTCTTTGAGACCCAGAAAATTGCCCTCAGTGATCCTGTTGATTTTTGGTCGTTGAAAGTAGTCACCAACAATGTTACCTAATACTCACAATTGATTAGTGGTATCTCACAACAATAGTATTTAGTTTAGACCGGTTCCCATCGACCAAATAACTGAGACACAGGAAAGTGGCGATGGGAAGCGGACACTTCTCCGAATTACCGGCAATAGTTTAACCATAAAATTTCTGAAATAGGCACAATAGGTGAATATCGCGTCTAGACGACGCACAATCACGTCATCCAGGTAGAATTCAATCACATCTATATTTCCCACAGGCTTATTCATCATTTGTGGGAGATCGCGTGTGAGTCGCTCAAACCAAGAGGAAGAAATCTGATTTTCTCAAGTCCGAATGGTGTACTTATGGTCTTTGTTGTCATCGCTGCTTCGTGCATACTGATCTCTAAACGTGCATCTTTGTGCCAGTTCGCGAATATTAACGAACTGTATTCCTTGGGAAATACAGGAACGTCTATCACCTAGAGAGCAACAATCACCTTTCCAGCTCCACCTTTAGGGGTTGCATTTATTCTCGAAGCTTATCATTATTCTTGAATTTTCGCTTAATTATCTGGCCCTATGCAGAACGGACAGTGTTATCGATCGTTTGGGTTAGGTACAGAGCAGGACGCAAAATGTCGTCCATTATAGTTGTGGTCACATGTAACAACCCATGCATTTATTGTTTATAGAAAATTGATATAGACAACGCAATCATTTGGGCAGTCAACCGACTTGCGTCCATACCACTTCTCGAGGTGGCTGCAATAAATGGCACCAACGTGGTGTTTCCCAGCTGCTGCGATTCAGTTATTTCAGTTTGTACGAGTATGGTTGCCGGCTGATTTCTCATCCCTATACCCCTGCATGTCGAAATTGCATTTAATCGTACTCGCGACAAGACAAAGCTGTACGCTCACTCGTCGCCTCACGATGCTCATCTTTCGTGCCCTGGAACCCATTCGTATGCTCCGTCAATTCGGCACCACCGCAACAAACGGAGCCCAGTTCGTTCTTATGTACGTTTAATGTGCCGGGGGCGCAAGCTGTGGCTCAGATGTAGCTACGGTGGCTTTCTGCCCGGGTCATGTGACAAAATAGGGCTTGAAAGTAGTCCTGCCGCCTGGGGGCATTGCAAAACAGTGCGCGGACCATGGAGGTAAGGTGCGTCCGCAAACTCAGTGGTTGTAGTAGCTTTGCAGGCTCGTTTACAGACCAATTAGAAAGNAGTCATTCCAACCAAATAATCGCATGACAATTCTGATTCATTTGGACAGACGTATGAATCACTTCCGCATGCTTCCGAAACAAATCAAAAAACGGTATGGGGGTTCCAACTTCAAGGGTTGCATAGAAAGCGTTTAATCGAAAAACCACAACTGGTTACCAAAAGACAATTTGTCTTCACTCACCTTGCCCCCTAACCAACTTGTTTAATTGGACGGGCACTCTTAGCCAAGCACGTTATATGACTTCGTGAAGTCGTGCATTGAGCGGGTACAGCGGTAGGTAGGAATACGTTTACTTGTCTATGTCATTGGACGACCGGATCGATGGAATACAAAAGAGAACATGAGTGGGTCGGACAACAGGAATAAATATGGCACACAAAACTCTACACATATGAATCAGCGAACTAAAATGAACTCCAAG